TAATATTGTGAGGGGATGTATCTTTGAGGAGGGGAGTGATGTGGGAGATCAAGGCTATCAGGAAGGAGGGGCAGCATTCCAGCAGGGCAAAAGGCAACACAGTCCGCAGGGGGAGTGTGGGAAGAATAAGAGATTCAGAATAGCCACTCCCTAGAATCTCACAGGGTATATCCACTAGTTGCTGTAGTATAGATTTAGTTTGGCAAGATTCTGCCTATAAGGTGTAAGCAAATAAAGGATCTGTACTAGACTGGACTGTTTCATCGTTGTTCTTGGGCTGGGCCTGACAAATATAAACTGACCCCTTCCACTCTGTTGGCCGCTGTGCCATTCTCCATATTTGCTGGTATAGCTTGGTTAAAGCCTTTACTGATTCTTCTTCTGTTGCTTGTCATATTTCTGTGGGTATTCCATCAGTTCCTGTAGCCTTCCAACTTGGTAAGGACCAGAGGGCTGATCTAACTTCGTCTTCTAATATTAGAGGTAGATATCCCCTACTTACTTGGGAATATCTTCTAAGGTATCTTGGATGTTGACATCTCTACTGTACAGTTTCAGTACACTCCTTCCATCTTTCTTTGATCTCCTTATCAGTTACTATCTGTCCATTAGCATCCTTTAGCATACTAATGTGAGGTTGGGAGCTGCTTCTGAGTTCAGAGATCTTTTGAAAGACTTTCCTTGATTTTCCATGTCTATTTCCATCTTCAGTGTCTTTACAGATGCTGTTGTAATACTTGTAATGCTGTTGTGAGACTTGTAATAAGACAAGTCTCTTCTAACAGCTCTCTGAAACTCTTTGTTAATTTCCTTCCTGGGATTTTTGTCTGTCTTGGTTTTTGGCTTTGCTTCTTGGCAATTTCCAGTTTGTTCTGACATCTAGTTTGCTTTCTTCTGTTTCTTCATTTCTGGCAGTCTCATTTCACATTCATCATTAACAACTTCTTCATTTCACATTCTGGTCCTCTGTCAATGAGGTTCAGGACTTCAAAGCAATTCCTGATGTTCTCCTTGAAAATGTTGGGTATATGCCCAAGATCATAACATGGAAACTTGCTATATCCTTGCTAGCTATAAAAGCAATGCTGTTTCTTCTTCATTTTTCATATCCTGAGTAATAAACAATATGATCATCTGACTGAAAATGTCCAATCGCAGTCCATCTCAATTCACTGATGCCTAAAATGTCAATTTGTGATCATTTCCCTTCATACATACATTTCTTGTTTTTCTTTATGCCTGAAATTTTCTGGGCAAAGATATTGAGTTATTTTATCTATTATATAATAATGACAATGATGATAATAACAATAGCTGCCTTTCTACCCAGGAATACAATATAAATAATTTAAAAAGAGTAATAAAAAAAACACTAAATATCATCAGTGTTACAATGAAGGGGTTTCCATAGACAATGCTGCAACTCCAGGACATACTGTCCCACGTTCCAATGAAGCACATCTTTGGACGGTGGTGGAACATATAGCAGAGTACCCCCTGAAGACCTCCAAAAAGGGGCAGGATCAGGCTAGATTAGATGATTGTTTAGAACTGATGTCAAACTAGGAATGGTTTTAAGGATACTAACCAGCACTTTGAACTTATTTTAGAAACAAAGAGCAGTAATTGCTCTATTTGAATGTAGCATTTGTCAAAAGCTAGTCCCATATAATTTTGTGGATTTTTTTTTTTTTTGATTTTGTATGCCACCTAGATTCCATTGGAGTTAGGTGGTTGTAATAAATTTAAACAAATAAATAAAAATAAAATGTGTTGGAATACTTTAATTTATTGGGTAAGTTATGTGTGACGGAGATCTCATTTAGATCTTGCAGTACGCCTAAGTCCAGATTACTTTTCCTATTGCAGCTGTGCCTTGTTGGATTCAGCTTGCATATTAGGGAGTAATCCCTACTGATCATCATGAGATTTATGACTTCGCAAGCATGTATACAGATTCCCCCGTACATCTCAGTAGTGACTGATAATGATGGAAATGCTAAGGACTTAAAAGGGTGGCTATTAGGTGGAGAAGGACTAGTGCTGGCATGCTTTCTCCGGAGAGACTCATCCACCTGACTCCCTTTGGCGGCAGGTGAAGACCATATTGTTTTATTTTATCACTTAGTTTCAAGATTTAAACAATGGACTTTTTAGTACTTGTCGTTATTCTCATGCTGTCTTAATATAGTCATGTTTAGGTGCCTGATGTGTTTATATTGTCACACCCACCCTCTGGAACAGCATTCCCCCAAACTCTGAACATTGTTTATATTGTTGTTGTAAACTTTGTAAGTCACTCAGAGTGATGTAGTAATAGGCAGTTGTAGAAATTGAAATTATAAATATATAAATACATTTTACATTTAGATTTTAATTTGGGACTAGATGAACTACAAACAGGATTTAATTCTTGCTGATGGAATTATGCATAAAATGAATAAACTGAACAATTGTGAGACAGCCACAGTCTTCAAAACCACCTACTGCACTCACTTTAATTCATTTTATTCAATACTCACTTCTACTGCAAGTGAGAATTTAAAAATGTTCAAGATTAATGCTGGGCAGAGCTCTGATGTTAAATTGGTAAGAAACAATTGGTAAAAAACCATTGCTGCCCAGCATGGTATTTCTAACAGAGTAACTACAGTTGAGATAAATAATATCAGCCAGGAAACAGATTTGCTTCTGCTCCATATCAACACAATCTGTGCTGACCAATTCTGTTAGCCTTTAATGAAAATCTAAAGCTATCATATCCAGGCTGCAAAAATCCAGACAAATTAAGCATTTTCTGTCTCATTCCTACCATCGTGTGGTCATCCAGAATTTGACAGCCCGAATATGGTAGCTCTAGCAAAACAAGTTACTGAGTGTGGGAACATTACTGTTCTTTAAACTTCGAGTAGGGCCTAAAATGTCATCTTTCCTGAGATCCTCCCCTTAGGCTAGTTAATCAAAGACCTGTATGTCACAATAATGTGGAAGAAATAAAGTATAAAGCTTGCTGAGGGTGGCAAACTGCCCCAGCCAGGGTTTATAAGGGGTGAGACGTTCATTATATACTGTTCCCTGGAGTCCGTTTCCTGGGTGTGCCTCTTGAGGGAACAGTCCTTTATGTACCCTTGATGGAGAAAAGGGAGAGGATGGATACGTAAAACATCTTCCACAGATTCCAGAAGGATATCTGTCTAGTCCAGAACAAGCCACCCAAGGCAACTGAAGAGTGATAAGCACATCATCCCTCATATTCATTCCTGGTACATGCAGTAAATGAGACAGGAAAAGAATGAAAAATATGATAAAAAGACATGCAAAATCAAGCAACTAACAACAAGCAGTATGACTCACCGGGCAGTTTGCAACATCATGACAGTGTTCTCTCCTTCGTAAGTGCAGGAGGGAGTGAAGTTGACATAAATATCAGGCAGGCCACTGCAGCGGGAATAGCCATGCCCGCCACATGCCATCCGACATTCCTCAATGCCAGCGTTGGCAGTCCAGGAACTGAAAGCCTTGAGCCCTGCAGACAGTGCATGCAACTGAGGAAGAAAGAATAATTAAGAACAAAGTAACTATTTCTGCCAGGTTTGTCCTGTTTCTACATTCCATCTTCCTGAATTTTTGGTGTGGGTGGGAAGGAGAAGAGATTAAGAATGGTAATCCAGATTATCTCCAAGATCAAAATTCTTCCCAGAGTTTTTAAAACTCCAAGAAGAGGGGACATTCTGTCAAGATACAAAGCATACCATCTAGATTTTTAAACTTTGAACCTCAAGTCAGCATAAGCAAATTATAAGAATTCCATCCCAGAGTTCGTCATGTCAGCTCTTCTGTTTATACCAGATATTGTATTTATTAAATAATTTATATGGCTGCCAAACTCAGACCATATGACTCTGGGAGTTGTATGTACATATACAGTGCATTCGGAAAGTATTCAGACCCCCTTCACTT